TAATCGAAATTTGACGATGTCAATACACCAATACTTAATTTCCTGTTTCTACTATTTCATACAGAAAATGATTAATGAAAATGAAAATCTATGAGATAGAGTTGAATTGTAATCTAATAAAAATAAATAAATTAAATTTAGGGACTTTATCTGAAATTGAACAACATCGCAAATCAGTGAATTGTGTTTTTTTTGCTGTTTGAACTAGAATGCATTGTTTATGATAAATTCAATAAAATAATAAACCGAAATTAAAATTAAAGCTACCACCTTTGCACTTGAATATTACTATAAAATCCAGTTACATTTACTTTAAAATTCACGTAGCTTTTAAGTGAAACCTATGTGTAGATCATCGGAACGTTCGATAAAATTTACGTGAAAATCACTTGATTTCTATATGAATCACATGGAACAGATTTTCATTCGCAAAACACGTAATTTTCACCTGAAGAGTACGATGGAAAATATCTTTTTCAGGTGAATATTAAGTGAACTTTTATTGCAGTGTGGTGCACCGTATGGAAATACACCATCGGGATTTTTTTTTCGTTGTTCCGTCTTGGTTCTTCGTTCGCAAATTTTGTGAGAGTGGAATTACACCCGGAGATTTTTTTGGTCTTCTTTTTGTTCGTTGTTTACACGTGAAATATCAATCGGATGCATTTCAAATAAATCGGGCGTGACTAGATACTAAAGAATCAGTACGTTTGGCATATTAAAACCTCGATTGAGTTGAAAATTGGAAATACGCAATGTAAGAAGAAACGTTTTTGATGATTTCTGTTCTCTCTATTTGTGGCAAAATATGATTTGTTTACATTTTGGAGTTACGCCCTTTTCAAATGTTAGTCTAGATTATTCAATTTGTTTTGAGGAAAAAAATGTAATCGACCATGCGTTCTGAACACTCAAGATTGAATACCGATCGGGAATGCCTTTTGAAAAAGCATTTTCTCTGTAAGAGATTTGTATGACATACTCCACGGTATATGTTACGAGGAGAACTGCATTGTAGATTGGATCTGTCAATAACAGTAGACGGGAAACCCGGCTTTTATTGACCGTCAGATCCAATCTACAATACGGTTCTCCTCGTTTTCAGATAGAATTGATGAATTTTCGGACTTCTTTTAGCCGATGAGCTCATTAAGGAGAAGCTTACCGCCAATAAATTTTGTTTTCTGGCACGTTTCGATTTTTTTAAAGATATCATACATGACCGTTTTACAAGTTCTGTAGAACGGTATGGCGGAGCTACGTAGGTTCGAAACGGTCCAGATTACGTTCCGAAGTGGTGAACTACCTAACGCAGGTGGCTTGACGGACGACGAGGAACACGCAGGGTACGTATTGGTTCACGTCCATATTGATCCTCCCCGGATTGGTACCCCGTCGGTGCCTTGTTTATGGTGCTGCATTACTTGGTGGTTTTCCCGCAAAGGTGAATTCCTCTGGTCCAAGCACGTTTGGTGTGTCGAGAAACAGAATTCCGAAACGGAAGATTGGGTGTGTGACAGTGCAACTGATCCTGTGGTTTACAGCTCAACAGCATAGAGTGCGTTGCGGGAAGTATCCGACGAAGGATAGTTGCCGATGGTGTGTGTGAATCACAACCAGAGGCAAACTGAGTGAAGGATTAACGATTCCAATGTGTGTACTGGTGATGTTTCGTACGTTAGGTACGCAGCGAGATCTTTCCAGGATCTTCTCTGCCAATTCGAAGCGTGTTGGGGTGCGTTCGTGTCCAATGCAAGCTTGTAGCGATGGCCGCTGACAATCGTGATGCGATGAAGTGGTGACAAGCAGTGTCATGCTAGGAGACGATACACTGGTCTTTTTTACCATTTATTTATTTGTAAGACTCAAACACCTTAGCTTTATGGAGCTAATTAATAAAGTTTTATTTTTATTTTTCAACATTAAAAAAGGGCCATGAATGAGTTCATTTCTTCCTTGGAGGCGACTGTTTGCTGTTTGCTTTTTTCCGTGCCCGCATCTTTTTAGATTTTGTGCTTGCTTCTCTAGAACCCATGATGGTTGCTGATGTAATAGTTCTTTTGCCGCCATGTACGTTGGGTCATTACGGCAATCGAATCGCTGCTGGACTAGTGTTTCGGTTGCTTGTTCATCATTTCTGTTTTCTTCGGTTTCCGGGGTAATCTCGTCGATCTCCATCACTTCCTCATCGAGCACCTCACTTCCTCATCGAGCACCTCACTTCCTCATCGAGCACCTCACTTCCTCATCGAGCACCTCATTTCCTCATCGAGCACCTCAATCGCTTCCGCTGTGGTACCTCCGGCTACTACACCTGCGTACGAACTAGTTTCCAAACACTACTAACACTACGATCTTCGTCATGATCGCATTCGTGCTTCTCTGCGTCCTTTAGTTCTACGACCAATTGTTGTTTCTCTGGCTGTTTCCGAGCTCTTTGTTTGGAGCAGGAATTCATTCGGTGCCCCTCCATCTTGCAAACAAAACACATACATTATAGACATCAAAGCAACAGATAAAATACATTCGCCTTCCGATTGAGGAAATCGAGCGATGTAGGAATTTACTTTTTCACTATGGGCAATGATGGATACCTATTTATAGTGGCCAAAATAATTTAATCAAAATGCTGTTCATTTTTGGCGTTAATAGCTACATAATTGGTCATTGGCTTCGATAGGATGTCTTCTGGTTCTTCTTCTTCTGCGTAGTATAAATATGGTGAAACACATTTTCTACAGAATTTGTCAATTGTGCATTGTTCCTTTTAAAAATATAACTTGATCTAAAATCAAGTTTTGAAGCAGTTGCTTTGGTAAAAAATAAATCATTCATATTACGAGAAAAAATGTGACTTTGGAGAGGCATGTATCATACTAAAACGGTCCATTAGCGGCGGCGCTGGTATAGTGGTAAGCGTGATTACCTCTCACCCCAGCATGCCTGCGTTCCATCCCAGTGGTGCCGCCGGGATGTTCTGAGGCATAATATCTCTGATCACGGGAAGTAAAGCCGTTGGTCCCCGTTTCATGAGTTGATGGGTCGATAGGTAGGGTCCAGGTGTGAGAGCTGCCTCCCTGGCGTCGGTAGCATTGGTGCCCAGTTCATTCTTTATTCCTAAATGTGCTTCGTAAATCTTCATGAGAACAGCATATGTTCACCGATTGTTTACTAAAAGAGCTCAAACCACTCCGAAGGGGTGCTCATTTTACCCCAATGGTTGTTACAGTATACATACTTAAAAACCGAGTGATTTCCAATGAACTGGATAGTACTATGCTGTCTTTAATCGCATATCAGTCCCATATGGATTTTCGTCAATTTTTAGATAACAACGCATATCCACTATAAATTGGCATCAACTTTCATATTATGCGATAAAACTATGGACTTTGATGTGAAGTTTGTCCTATCAAGCAAAATAATCGCATATCAGTCCTATCCTATTGTATCGTCCATAGTTCAAGTTAAAATTCTGCTTTTCGAATTTTAATTTGCAACTCATTTCAACTTCAAAGATTTAACAATAAATAAAACTTTTCAAATATTTACATGGGAATTGCACTTCATAGTTTTGAGTGCCATTTGTTTTTTCAATGCCTCCTATTTTTCGTATGAGACAGATATAGGATTATTTTTCGGGATGTTTTGTAACTTTATAGGGGAATTTACGTATTCTCGTCAATCTAAGCAGCGTCTGCACTTCTACTAGCATTTTCTCAGCGTCACGCACATATATGATGTGTATGTTTGTTTACATTCATCTGCTGCTTGCTTTTCTATCCATTCCAATCGACAGAATTTTTCAAAACGTTTTTACAACGCTCCAAACTTCTCAGGTGAGTGTGACTATTGTCGGCAGCCTCTTTTTCTTCGGCAACCTTCCCATTAGAACTGCGTGTTAACCAGCTGTTCTATTATCGGCAACTCGAAATCAACCCCATTTTGTAGTGCGTATGCTTTATTTGAAGAAAAATGTAGCATTACTGGATTGCTCGATCGTTCAAATATAATCAGATTGAAGCTGAAAGGCTAAACAATCGTTTGGACACATTCAGGGAAGTGCGTTGATGGGAAAACATAGTGAAATTAACGTTTAAATTTTGGTTGCCGAAAACAGTCAATGGGTGCCGAAGCCAACATTTACCCTACCTCCCCTCCCACAATAGATCAAATTATTGGTCGTAGTGGATTTATGTCCCGAACGGTGGTCCCTTGAATATCGAGTAAGAGAGAGTTTTCGAAATGGATTTGAAGTAATGGTCATTCGCGGTAAGATCATGCGGGATAAAGGCGTTCGGGGTTATTCGGAGTAATGTCATAAAGTCGGATACCTAGAATACGTACAAGTTTCTGTTTGTATTAAAAACAGGAATTCCACATCTCTCCGATTTGGATGAAATTTTAGGAGAGAGTTATGCCCAGGTAGGGAATATTACGGGTTCGTTAATACCTTCACCTATTATCGTCAAGGTGGAGGGAGGAAAGTTTAAATAATAAAGCCCTTTAACGTTCAATGTTGGCCAAACGATGCTTTCAAACATGATGTATCATCATGCTAAAAATGAGAGTTCAAGGACTTCATGTAACTCCTGACAATAATATGTAAAGGTTTCGCCTACACCGTATATATATACATTTAATCAACGATTTTCATTTCATGAGTGTTTAACAATAATGCATATAAAATTATACATGGTTTTTTGAATTACGCGTTTCTTTGCGAAGGATTCATGTTTTGTCTCCTAGCGAAATCCTATCTAAAGTTGCATTCAAATCGAAGAGATTCTTATCAGATTTAAGGTTTTTATGCAGATTTTCCGTGGAACTGATCAGTAGTTGAAAGCTTTGCAGATGAATTTGTTTTAATCAGTCAGTGAACGCTTGAGCTTCTTGTAATCAAATTAGTTTAAAACGTTGGTTTGATTATGTCTCTCTAAAAGAGACCTAGTATTGTTCTGGAAAATTAAACTTAATTAGGAAATAAAATGGCGGTATGGTTCGTTATGTAGCCACTGCTTAATTGTATTATCGACATATAAATAAACTAGTCATTTGTGTTACCTACTACAATTAATCACATTTAAATTATTTCCAACTGTCGCTGATGCCAAAGCACACTTGAGTAATTGTATCAACTCCTTGTACTGTCTATTTGCAGCAAATAACTGGTATTATCGTATTATTATAGTTAAAACTAAAGGTACAACTAGAAGAGGGTTTTTCGATGATGTCAGGCTGTTCCAGCCAGCCCTTTCTGCTTACAGAGTCACATCGCCGAAATCATGCAACCACTTCTCATATGCTGCTAAGCTGCTCGGAGCTACTGAGCGGCGAATACGTTTTAAGGAGCTATGGAAATCACTTTCCCGAATGCTGCGTAGTTTCGTTGGGTCCATGTTCTTTACTTCTTCTACGTTGAGCTCTAAAATTTTCAATAAAATTATTGTTGAAGGTTAATTGATTTTTTTAAAATTGTTGTGTGGCATTCCCATTGTTTCTAATAAGTAGCATGACGTTCACAAAAAAATACCGTAGAACCCCGTTAGTTCGAATAGCTAAAATCGCAATCAAACCGCGCTTGTTTAGAATTTGTTTAACTGGTACTCCTACAGAGGTGCCCAATGGCTTTGTTAAACAAATTCTATATGAGCGCCGTTTAATTGCAATTTTAGCTATTCAAACTAACGGGGTCTCTACGGTATTGGGTAAGGTGATGCAAGCTGGATTAGATGCTCATTTTACTTATTTATTTGGCAGTATCAATAGGCTCAATGTAACCTTTTTACTTTTCAAACCATCATTAAAGCTAGTGATACCCGAATAGAGCTATTCGAACCAGGTATTCGGTGTTTAGACCAAAATGTTATCTGATATTTGGCCATTTCTTAACCATCTTTTTCCATAACAAGTGGCCGACAAGGTTTTTGACCGAAATTTCGAGAGTGCAAAGCTTGACTAATAGCGAATTTGTTTATTATCCAGTTCCAACCAGTTCCAACCCGTGCGAACCCGAGCTTATTGTCAGTGCGTATAGGCTGAAAGCCTCCTAAATAAAGCTAAATAATAATAATATTGTCAGTGCGAACCTCAACCCGAGCCAGGTTACGAAAAAAAAACAGACAACAAGCAGACCCAGTCTTTATACCTGATCCAGGTTGGAACTGAATAAAAAAAAAATCCGCTCTAAGTATTCAGCCGAATCGGTGCATCACTAATTAAAGAGCAGTTCCGCGCCAAATGATGCATCGGAAAAACTCGACCTTCTCTAATTTGCATAAAACTTTGCATAATTGTGTGTTATGGGTAATCATTCACATTTTTGCAAAAATTCAACCATTTTGGATCTTGTAATTTTCTTCAAGATGACGTCTTTGTCATTTTTCAATAAATTGTAGCCCGAAAACGTCACATCTGATCGAATAACGAGAGTTCTAGAGAAAAATTAAGTTTTTCTGTTTTCATACCTGGTTTTTTTGAAGTAATTTTGAGTTAAAAAATCAAAACAATTGTTACAATTTCATTAATTTTGAAAAAAAAGCTCATGCAAACTTTTGGAATATTTAAAACTATAAACACTTCAAAATTGACAAAAATTGTAGAACAAGAACTCGTGGTTAAATTTTTAACTTTTTGCTAGTACGCTTTTCATGTAATATTTACAAAATATTTACTCAATCAAGCAATTGTAAACAAATAATGAGAAAGTCACGAACGAGTTCTCATTTTTGTTTTGAAAAAAAAGGCGCCAATTTGTGAGCGGTGTTGAGAGGATGAGGCCTGTCTAGAGATCGACACGACGGGAATATCTTATAAAATGTTCGATTTTTCATCATCGTGAAAAATGTAATTGACAAAATTTCACTTCGCTTGGAACTGTAAACAGATACGATCCAGTGAAATCGAATTTTGTGGATCGCATCTTTTTCGCTTACGTTTACGTTTTTCACGCATGCAGCTGCTCTTGAAAAGAACAGCAGGTAGGCGAAAAGTTGACGCTTCGAGAAAGAGCGTATCTGTCAGATTTTCACTTCACCAGAGGTGTAAACTATAGTCGCTATATTCATAATCTGGCCGATAGAATCTCGGGAACCAATTGAGCTGTCAAATAACGGAACCAATCGAGCAAATCACGACCAACAACAGAAAAGAGCACATCAGCTATTGCGAACAAAACTTCGGAAACCCTTTTCTCGTGACTCAAGGTTCGCCTACGCAAACAAACACTATCTTTGGGTTGAGGAAAGTTCCCCCTATCCGATGATTCCGGTAATTTGCACGTTCGATTGGCGAGGTAAGAATAATCAATGTTTTTCAATTGTTGGTCTTGAATTGAAGTGGTTCCGCTTTTCGATAGATCGAAATTCTATCCGCCAGACTATGAATATAGCGACTATAGTGTAAACTGATCGATTTCGTTTCACGTGAACTGTGAACTGCGAAAAGAGGAAATTGGAATATGTTCCACAACCTTTATGTCGTAACCAGGGATGGAAAATCATTTACATTCACTTCGTGCATTCATTTACATTCATTTGCCTCTAACTTTTTTCATCAACAGAATTCTGTAAAATAGTGTTTGAAGCTTTTGTAGGTTTTTATATTAACTACATGTTTTGTAAACAACTCAAATCTGTACCTCTTATGCGTGATGAATTAGAGCGATAAGAACCCACCATGGTTTTTCAGTGAATGTAAATTGCATTCACTGAAAAACAATAACATGTTCTGCCAGCTCTATTTCATCATGCATAAGATATTAAGATTTTAGTTATTAACAAAAGTTGTAGTTAATATCAAAAGCTACAAAAGCTTCATGCATCATTTAACGGTATTCTGTTGAAGAAAAAAGTTAGAGGCAAATGAATGTAAATGAATGCACGAAATGAATGTAAATGATTTTCCATCCCTGGTCGTAACCTTTTTCGCTAGCGAAATTTTATGATTTTTCATTCGTTTTCAACTGTATATACTGGCTATATAAACAAAGGCAAGAGGATGAATATTTTTCAAGCAACTAAACTTGAATATTTAAAGCGATCGACTCCGCACTAAAGTCCTAATAAAACTATGGCCGCCTGTCAAAAGTTGTTACAATCGAGCCGTCAAAATGCACTGCTTTGCTCGATTCCCAAGTAACCAACAAGCCCGTTAATCGCCCTTTTTGGTATATAAGGCTGCTATACGACTGATATAAAGTTCGGAAACCCTATTGTTGGCCCGCCCTATTATGCCAGCGCGAACACCTTCAACCGATACACTGTGGTGGTGACAGCATCACGCGTAGCGCGCTGCTGCGGTGGTTCCGAGTACAGCGAAGTGACAGGTAATTGTCACGTCTGGTGAGTACAGTTGAGAGAACGGTAGAACAAAAGGGAAAATGTGTTAACACGATGGTTTCATACCAAGAAGCATGCTAATTTCTACAGAGTGTTAATCTTAATTAATAGGTGTATTTATATTACTTAAAGCTAGCGTATAAACCTAAACTAGTGTAAAGTAACTACGATCAAATTGGTAAGGAGTTATATATAAGTTCAAACTTATAACTAAAAGATATCAACTATTTACAATTAGGACCTACAGCTAACCCCTTTGTTATCACTACGTCTGAGCTACACCCGATGTACTGAAGTAGCTACCAGAATCGGTAAGAGTAATTTCTCTGAAAGCTCCTAGAGATGAAGACGATGAATTTATATAAAGAAAAACAAAAAAAAAAAAAAACTATTAGCTAAAACTATTTATATGATTACCAGGCCTTACTGCTAAAACTATCAGCTGCTCTATTGATTGGATTGAGGTTGAAATTTACAAAAGGAACTAAACGTAAGTAACCTAAAATTACATTAAACTTACAACAAGTTCGTACCATTGCCTAAGCTAATATGCAAGCTAGAGCAAAATGAAACCTTAACGTTAACATACAACTAAAACTATTATACGAATGGAATCTAATGAAGATTATGTATTCTACCTACTACTTAGGAAAATTTTATTGTCGCTATATCAACAATTGGATTCTATTTATTCATTTGTATCCGGGCGGGAATAATAACTTTGGAAACGTCCCGTTGAATTAAATTCAACACCTATATTTACCTTATATCGCAAAAAGGGCGCTTATCGGGTAGTTAGCGGGCTTGCTTCCATTTATTAACGTCCTTTTAAACAAACCACCTTGAGGAGGTGGAGATAGTTCATTCAGGACGTAGCGGGCTTGGTGGTTACTTGGGTTGGAACAAAACTTGTTTAAGTTTTGTGGTGAAAGACGTCCATTTACTAAAGAGCTTTACTCCGCACCACTCAGCTCTTTATGCCTACATCTCTCAAAAACGGACTAGGTAGTTTCTGGACAGCCCGTAATAAAGGAGAATGGCAATATGTATACCATACCCAATTTTTCCAGAGCTGACCAAGCGACCAGGGCCCGGTTACGCTAGAAGAAATATGCAGCATACTTCTTCTACTTTGACTATTACGCCTTAAGTAGAACTTGGTGCCTGCCCTCAACAGTGTCTATGAAGATTTCCATTACTAATTGAGAGTTTTCGAAGCCTGTAGCATTTTGGCATTCGTGTATTGTGTTGAATACGCAATGATACACTGGCAGGCGAGTCACGATGATAACCCAGAAAAGGAAGTCCCAACAAAATCCTTGAACGTACCGGAAATTGAACCCACCCGTATTGCCGTTATACGCCGAAGTGTCCCACGGTCTATTATGCTAATAAGTTTATCGAAGGTAGGTATGTCACACGTAAATTCGAAATATTCATTAAATTACCTCTGATCGGTTCCAGTGCAGCATCCTTCGCGAGCGATGTCAAATCCGATCCCGAGTAGCCTTCAGTCAACATTGCTAAGCGATTCAAATCTGCATCACCCAGTGGACTTCCTTGCTTTTCTAGCAATCTTCGCAGCAACAGTTGTCTGGTATTCAAATCCGGAAGAGTAACGTACACTCGTTTGGGAAACCGTCGTAAGGCAGCTTCATCAAGTTCTTGTGGTCGGTTCGTCGCTGCCATCACGACAATTTTATCCACTTCCGAATTTGCCGGAAGGCCATCAAATTGGACTAGAAATTCGGTCTTCAGCCGACGAGTGGCTTCATGTTCTCCACTACTACGCTCAGAAAGCAGGGAATCTACTTCGTCGATAAATATTATAGACGGTTGCATTTCTCTTGCTACTGTAAATAGCGCTCTGACAAGTTTTTCACCATCACCTACATATTTGCTAGTTAGCGTTGCGGCTGATATGCTGAAAAAGGTTGCAGAACACTCTGTTGCTACTGCCCTTGCAAGTAAAGTTTTTCCATTACCAGGAGGACCAAACAGTAGCAACCCTTTGGCAGGAGTTCGTAGACCGGTAAAAAGTTCCGGTCGAACAGAAGGTAAGATTACCATTTCCTGAAGAGCTTGCTTGGCCACCTCTTGACCAGCAATATCTTGCCACTCTACCCTAGCGCCACCTTCTACGATTTCATCCATAATTATTTGAACTAGTTTCGGTTCCACACCTTTTACATTAATTTGCTGCTGTTGGCTGGATGGATTATTGGAAGGTGTTCTTGAACGAGGAGGCGTATCCTTACCACCTCCACCGCTCCTCCCGTAACCGTTACTTGGTTTCCGTATAGGTGAACTTCCAGGAATCTGAAAATAAAAATAATAATGGCTTTTAGTTAACATGTATTAATTAGTACTAGACAATCTGTACATGGCTGACACATTTTTTTTTCTTGGCTTATTTCGTTTTTACTGAAACTTATACTTTTGTTCTTATTTAGTCCTGTGACTTCAATCTGTTCGACAAGTTCCTTATTCTATATTAAAAAAAATCGCTAAATCAAATCAATTAAATCATTCTCAGTTGAGCGATTGGTCATAGTGCGCCCACGTTTTCTGAGCAAAACGCCATTTTTTTCCCGAAAAATTCGGCTTACATAAACGGTTTGCTGGATACCCAGTTAAGAGATGTCAAACTGTTAGCTTGCTGAAAGAAACCGTTCACACCAACCATGCACAGGATGTGAACTTACCGAAAATTGTCGCCGGATGGCGGGTGGTGTTGCTGCTGGTTTTGGCACAATTTTCGGCATACCACCTGCGGTGGCTCCACCTCCGACTCCATTTCCTCCTCCTACGGTGCCACCACTGCTACCAGTCGGGGTAGTTCTTGTACCGCCCATGCTACGGGGTAGTGTTTGCGACTTGTTCATCACACCCAGATTGCCAGGACGTTTGTACCCAACCGTTAATTTTCGTCCGGATGCTGCAAAGAGAAACAGAAGATGCGGTAAAAAAAAAAGAAGAATGAACTCGACGTGTGGGACGATGTGATAATTGGAAAATTATTTATATAAAATCAATAAAAATAGCTGTTAGAATAATTTGATTTTTTTAAATCTTTATTGAAGTGATTTTTAGTCGAGAATAATTTTATGCTGTTACGCAAATTATAGCTAGGAGCCATCCAGACACCTTAGGGGGGTTGATGAGTGCAAGGATGGATTTGAGTTCATGCACTGATGAAAATTAGATAGGAGAGCGGGGCAATGTTTACTAAAAATGAATACTAAATGTTCATGAATAATGAATAATGAACATTAAGTGTTCATGATTAGTAAATATTGCCCTGCTCTCCTGTCAATTTTTCGTCTAAAATTCATCGCTGCACTCGTCCATAGGAGGAAGGAGATTGCCAGTGTAAACGGTTCATGCTAATTAAAAAAAATGTATGTTCGGTTGTCTATGCAGGACGAGGAGGGAATATAAAATCTGTCATAAAACTGTCTACGGATTTTATGAATAGCCATGATTTTCAGACAACATCAAACAACATGAAATGTCAATGATGCACATCAATGCACTTTAAATGTATTTAATAACTGGTTTGACGTATAAAATGTATTTCAGTTTGCGTATGCCGTTTGCCTGCCTTAGCTCAGTCGATAAATGCGCAGCTATAAAGCAAGACCATGCTGAAGATGGCTGGGTTCCATTCCCGGTCCAGTCTATGCATTTTTCGGGTTGAAAAAGGCATCGACTTCCCTGGGCATATAGTATGGTTGTAGGTATTTGCCACACAATTATACTAATGCATTAAAGGTACTGGCTTCTTGGGCGTTTTGGCAAAACAGGCTTTAAAAACCAATATCTCTGAAGTGTCTCTCTGATTTTTTCCTAACTATAGTACCTTAAGGTCGCCATCCACCGCTCACGTTGACTACCTTCATCGCTCAATGTGTACTGGACCATATAACAGTTGGTATAAGTCAATGGAGACGCATGGTAGTCTAGTCGTATTATAATAGGAGTATTGAGCGAAAACCCAAAACTTTATATCTTCAAAAAATATAACTCAAAAGCGAAAAAAAACAACACATGGCTGATTTTTTTATATGCTGTGAAAAACGTTTTTCAATAATATAGGAGAATGGCTCTAATGTTGGTTTATGGATCTAAGATTGGGCCCATCGCTAAAAAGCTGCTATTTTTCAATTTTATCTAGATGAACGCGTCATTGGGACGGTACTAATGGATATTTTTGATCGCTACAGAAAATTTAGTCGATTGCTGAATTTATGTATGGGCCTAAATTAGGGGCATTTAGGCCGACATTGCATCCATTTCCCTTAGTTTTCATTTTCTGGTTTAAAACTATGATACGATTGGGTTCCAGAAAAATTTGTTTTACACTTATCTGTTTCTGGAAAAACTCGTAGTGTACTTTTGAATCTGGCTTCTACATGTGAAAAGTTCATTTGCCGTTGTTATGAGATGACCTTGTTCATGATGACTTGCTCTAGCAGCGTTTCGTTACAAAACTCCTCCCAATACATGAACCTTTAGCATCGCATGTAGCGTAAAAAATCCCGCATTAGACCGAAGTCTTTTTCGATATGGCACAAATTAAAATCTGGCATCTTATTTTTGTACTTTCTGCCTGTTTCATCTGAGAAAAAAAGTGGATCTTTTTCAAGCCAGTCAACTTGCTTTTTAAGAAGTTTATACAGTTAACTATAAATAATAGACCTGCAACATTATTGTACTTGGTGAACTCAGCAATTTCTATAAAACTTGTAAACATTCCATTCTGAGATTCATCCTTATAATGTATCGCAAAGGGATAAATAGTGAACTGTTTGTTTCTTCAATGAAATCCTTGCACATCATCCTGTACAACAAAGACATAATTTTCAGAAAAATCACAAATTACAAAGCACTCCGTGGGCTTTAAGCTATTTTTTTTTAAATATTTTAAATAGTTTCCTTGTTGTTCAGCGATGAAATTATGTGGCAATAAATCGTATAATATTTCCAAAAACGTATCCACAAATCTTGTGCTTCTATTTCCACCTGACCCATCATGTAATGATCGGCTTGACGCCATTACTTGAATTGAATGATTCAATATGACCGTCACGAAGAATTGTAACGGGGGTGACCCCGGCGTAGTGGTTATCATCCATACCTCTCACGCCAAAGTCACGAGTTCAAATCTCACTCTCGGACAAGTTACGAATGACCCAAGAGCGTTAAAGTGACTATAAAAAAGAATTGTAATAGGTTCTAAAGAGAAAAAGATTGTATTTCTGGGCATTGTGCTAGATAAAAACATCAGAAATCCGTTGTAAATTACAAAAAATAACATATAATATTACATAAAATAGTGAAAAATGCAATTTTGGTTTGGTGCTCGAAGAGTTAACCAGCATTGTACAAAACTACACATTCTATCCAAATCAATTTTATCAATTCATTCGGTCCCTTAAAATAAAACAAAAATAATGTAGCACCACAATAAACTATCAATAATAAAGCAACAGTAGAATTATACACTACCGTTGAACCCCGTTTAGTTTGAATAGCCTGTATACCTGTGTAGGGGTACCAGTTGATGACATTCTAAATGAGCGCCTTTTAATTGCAATTTTAGCGATTCAAAATAGCGGGGTTCTACGGTATGTGTCATACAAGAAGGAATGCTTGAAAAAACTCAAAATAGCATGAATGCAAATTCATTCTCGCCTTGTTGCTTACCATCTCGTTGCGACACCATCGCCTTGGCTCATGTACAATAGTCGCTGAAAATCATATATGAAACGTGACGCTTACCTTCTATCTCAGCTGTAGCGTTCTTCCGATATGCAGGCGTGGTGGACGTAGAACTTTCGTTGAGCATAACCATTCGATTCTCCTGCTGTCCTGCCCGAGGCTTGCTGATCGCAGAAGGAACTTTAAATTGTGTACGTTTATGATGTGATTCGGGCTTGGATATGATAACGGGTGTCGCAGTGTGCTTATGATCCGTCGGATGATGGTTGACACTTAGGGTGAAAGTGTTGGATCGTTGAAGTTTGTGCGCTTCGGTAATTTCTAATTTGTTAGCTTCAAGCATGCATTCTATAGCAACGGAAAACATAAAAATGGGTAGGAACGAAAAAATAAACAAAGGTAAAATAGGTTCTAAAGCATCCTAAAATTATCGTATAAAGTATATAACTGAACAGTTTAGTTTATTTGTCTATTTGTTTATTGTAAGTGTTTCGGGTTCTACACTAAAACTGAAGTCGAAAAAATGTAGCTCGGATTCCGTTTTCTAATGTTTTCATACCGCTAGAAAGGTTACCCGCATAATTAAATACCATGTGCAGAATACTACTTATTGAAAAACAGATTTATAATGTATCGTGATTATTTGACTTATTCTTCTTTGATAGTTAAACAGTGAATCCCAACCAAAAATGTACGACAATAACTGTGATAACTATTTGGTGAACCATTTTAATATTGTTTCTTATCGTGTGTAGAAGACGTTTTTGGTCATACACGGATACGAATTTTGTTCATTTAAAACAAAAATATATAAATGCTATTTATCAATTTTATCTAGATGAACGCGTCATTGGGACGGTACTAATGGATATTTCTGGTCGCTATTGAAAATTTAGTCGTTTTTTTCCCCTGAGCTTTCCTGGAGGTGCTATTTATCTGGTTTTCCGTTTCAGATTTGGACGAAAAAAAAACTTTGTCAGAAAAGGGTTCCGACATTTATTCAGCGTTATATTTGTCGAAGAAACCAAGTCTCAAATGCCTTGTTCAAAAACCAATAAAACTGCATAACCGCTTAACCCTTTGTCTGAACCTTGGGCTCAATTTAATCGCAGACCACTGGCTGGTCCATTTTACTCCAAATTCAAATTGCCGTATCTTAACGAAGTAAATTTAGTGAAATTTAAGTTTACTATCAAACTTTATTTGGAGAGGGAGGCGGATCCTTCGTATGGAGGGGTCATTGTAAAAATGTACTCATGAAGTGGGATATATCGATGTTAAAGATATTTATATCACGAGATCCTAACCATATTGGATATTGGTTTCTTCGGCAAAGATGTTAATGCATATCTATAGATTCCTGCAAGGGGCAAGTCAAATGTACTGAAAGCAAATAGTTTCGCAGCGAGTAAATTTGAGCAACTCATAATTACTCAAAACTGATCAAAGTAGTCTCGCCTTACAAATATAAACCTTAAAATGAAAAATCAAAACAGACGTCATCTACCTACTCGAGGTTTTGGTTAATTGAGTTGAAATCATTTTTTTTTTTAAATTTAGTATGCGGCGAAAAAGTTTTTTCTATATAGAACGGGATAAGTGGAAAGGAATTTTATTTTATCGTAAACATATAAGTTGGTCGATATACGGAATGAGAGGATAATCGTTGCCAGATTTAGAACACGGGTTCGTAATCCAATGTTATGCGCCAACCGATGCTGCCGAGCTACAGGACAAGGAGAATTTTTACAGTCAACTGAATGCCGTCGTGGATAAGGTTCCAAAGGGTGACATCAAGATCTACACTGGCGACTTCAATGCGACGATCGGCTCCGACAACACGGACTATGAGCGTGTCATGGGACGCCATGGTCTCGGCGAAATGAGCGAGAACGGTGAGCTGTTTGCAGAATTTTGTGGCAATATGATCGGGGGCTCGCTCTTCCCCCATCGGCCAGTGCACAAAGTCACGTGGGTTTCACGTGATGGACATACCGAAAATCAGATCGACCACATCTGCATCAGCCGAAAATGGAGACGGAGCCTTCTTGATGTCCGGAATAAACGCAGCACCGACATCGCGTCTGACCATCACCTTCTAATCGGCGAAATCCGCCTACGCATGGCGCGGATCCAGCGACGGGAGGAGAGACTCAGGCGGCGGTTCAACACACGCCGACTTGAAGATCCAGCGGTAAAAAGGTCTTTTGTATCAAACTCGTGCTGCGGACGTTCCAGAAGGTGGCAGCGTAGAAGAACAATGGACGGCCATCAAGAATGCCTTTATAGAAACAAGCGAGAACAACTTGGGTGAGCTGCGCACCCAGAGGAAAGAGTGGATCACAGATGAACCCTGGCGGAAGATTGAGGAGCGTAGAGAAGCAAAGGCCGCGATAGAGCGGGCGAGAACCAGAGGAGCCAAGATCGAAGCCCGTCAACGGTACTCGGCTCTAGAGTAGGAAGTCAAGCGCTCTTGCAGACGGGACAAGCGAGCGTGGGTGAACTCCCTGGCCGACGAAGGGGAGAAAGCCGCAAACACTGGCGATATACGCCTCCTCTACGATATCTCACGACGCCTGAGTGGAACAAGGATAAATCCGAGGATGCCAGTGAAGGACACGACTGGGCAATTGCTTACCGACCCCACTGACCAGCTGAAACACTGGTTTGAGCACTTCGAAAAACTTCTTCAAGTTTCGACGGCCAACCAGCCATCAACATCTCGGCATGATCCGCCTAGGGTGCGGCGCATCACTCGCGTCAATTCCGAGGCCCCATCACTGCAGGAGATTGAAGCAGCTATCGGAAGCATGAAATCCAACAAGGCTCCAGGGGTCGATCGCATATCAGCAGAGATGCTCAAAGCTGACCCCATGATATCCGCGCAAATGTTGCATCAACTATTCTGTAATATCTGGGACACCGCGACTTTTCCGGCCGACTGGATGCAGGGAATCTTAGTGAAGGTCCCAAAGAAGGGGGATCTGACTGTGTGCGACAATTGGCGAGGCATCATGTTACTGTGTATTGTTCTCAAAGTTGTGTGCAAGTTATCCTGAATCGGATACAGGAGAAGATCGACGCGACTCTCCGATGGCAGCAGGCAGGATTCCGTGCCGGAAGAGTTTGTGTGGACCATATTGTCACGCTCCGCATCATCCTGGAGCAGGTCAATGAATTCCAAGAGTCCCTTTATTTGGTATTCATTGACTACCGTCTCAATCACGAGAATCTGTGGGGCGCCCTGAAACGCAAGGGAGTCCCGGATAAAATCGTCAACCTCATCGAAGCGCAATATGAGGCTTTCACGTGCAGAGTTCTGCATAACGGAGCCTTGTCCGGGTAGTCGCTGGTGTGAGAAAAGGATGTATACTATCACCGCTACTGTTTCTCATCGTAATCGACGAGATCATGGTAGGTGCAATTGACCGTGTACCGAACCGTGGGCTGCTTTGGCAGCCTATCACCATGGAGCATCTCAACGACTTCGATTTGGCTGATGATGTTGCTCTACTAGCACAACGGCGCTCTGATATGCAGAGTATGACCTAGCCGAACGCTCCTCTGCGGCGGGTCTCGCCATCAACGTCAACAAGACCAAATCGTTGGATATCAACACGGGCAACCCTTCCAACTTTACGGTAGCGGCGCAAGCAGTGGAGAAGGTCGAAAGTTTCCAATATCTTGGCAGCCAAATAGCGTCGTACGGCGGGACCAAGCGCGACATAGGTGCACGAATCAAAAAGGCTGGGGCTGCCTTTACGAGTTTACGAAACGTATGGCGATCCAGCTAAGTCAACGCACCAATATCCGAATTTTCAACTCGAATGTGAAATCTGTATTGTTATACGTCAGCGAGATGTGGTGTGTATCAGCGGAGAACACTCAAAAGCTGCAGGTCTTCATCAACCGATGCCTGCGGTATATAATTCGTGCCTGGTGGCCTCACAACTGGATCTCGAATGCCAAGCTCCATCGTCGATGTCATCAGAAGCCGATAGCAACAGAAATTCGACGGGGCGGAAACGAAATCTGCAAGCAAGCACTGGATTGGAATCCGGCAGGACATCGCAGCAGAGGCAGACCCAGGGGCTCATGGCGGCGGAGCCTCAATAAGGAAATTAAGCAAGTCGATAAGAATCTCAAAAGCAAAAGCGAGCAGCCGCCCAGGATGGAAGTCTTTCACGTTGGCCCTTTGCACCGCTGGTGGTGCACTGGACCCTTAAGTAAGTAAGTAAGATATACGGGAACAAGTCGCGGGCATCGGAAGAACGAGGTCGGAGATGCCATCAAGAATGGGTTGGCGAAAAGTCGTCAAAAGAAGATTGGAAGGAAGTCTAACCGTTTGCTAGAAGTACACACTAAGAAAAATTCATGTAAATTTACGTGCTCTGAGACTGACATTTATTTATTTATTTGTTGTTTCATCTTCGATAAAAAATAAAAATCGTACAGACTACATATACATACTACATTTGACATATACGAGCGTCAATTTTGACATAAATTTGAGTCATAACAGACGCTAAATATAGCTTAATCAAACGTACTTTTCGTCGAGCAACGAACTTTTCAGTCTCGGAGCACTTAATATTACATGACATGTTTGTTTACGTCTAATCTTTTATGTCAAAGATGGATTCCGTCACTTGTAAAATTAGTTATTTATAAGTGTGTAGTGGTACGATACGTACGATATTTAGACCAGAATGGGTTAGTTAGTAGGAGGATTCGGTAGCACTTAAATTTTCGTTGAAAGTGAAATAACTATAGACAAAGTTTACATTGTTGTACCTACTAGTTAAACAAATACTTAAATCCAAAAATGTATCTCCTCCAACCGGTGACTGTTGTTGTTGTAGCACATATCCGTAGTTCTTCTGAGTAATTCGCAACGCCATTACTTCCATCTAAAGCGAAGAGTGGTCTTAATCAGGCTTCTTGTTGTGTTGATGAAGATAGCGTGGATTTATTGCACCGAGGTCTTGTTCAGCTTGTACCCGCAGATCTTCGTTTGCTTTCAGGTGGGGACAATTCTTAATGACATTTCTGTTCCTCCTTGATAAGAGCTTCGTGAAGACATTCCTTGTGCTTTTGGATGCTACTTCTGTTGTCAACACCCATTTTCTTTCTCGTACTTTGTGAAGAATTAAAAGGAAGTCAAATGCCAATTGATGCAATGAATTGCAGTTTATGAGCCGACGATGTTGGCGTATGTACACTATCCGCTCTTGAGCTAAATCGCAGTGAATTCCAATAGAAATTACGGACAATCCCACGAGAGCTCAGTGCTAAACTTTCCCTGACAGTTTGAACAATAGTTCCGGGCAATGTCATTTTCGTCAGCT